TTGTTATTTTTTTGTTATTTTTTTGTTATTTTTTTGTTATTTTTTTGTTATTTTTTTGTTATTTTTTTGTTATTTTTTTGTTATTTTTTTTTGTTATTCTTTTTAATTATCGTGCTCCTTAGATAGCCATCACGACTTATTCTGTTTGTCTGGCGAATCTGGCGAATCCGAAGTTTATATATCTCATTTTTGGGTGTTGGGCCAACACGGCATTGCGTGATATGGAGGGACAAGCATGTAAGATATCCCCCGCAAGGGGACTATTTATAAACTGCCTCATGTCTCATGAAAAGTAATAGTCAATTTCAATATAATTGATTTCCACAGACATACTCCATACTCCATAACTCCATACACCTCGCCATCATGTCCCAATCTAGTGTTCCAGCGACAGACCCCGCTGTCTATGCTGAATACCAAACGACATGGTCCAATCTCCCGGACACCGAAGAAGCATGGATTGCTAGAGCCCGAGAAGTCTCCGAAGTGTTGGCCAAAGACGCAGCCCAAAGAGACCAGGAGAACAAATCGCCGCGCGCCGAAGTGGCCCTGCTCAAGCATTCGGGCTTGACAAAGCTTCTAGGGCCTGAGAAGTATGGTGGTGGCGAGCAACCGTGGAGCGTTGGATACAAGGCAATAAGAGAGGTTGCAAAGGCAGACGGGTAACATCCAAACATCCCACATGGCTCCCAAGGATAGTCCCTAACCAGAAGACAGATCTATCGGTATGCTGCTTGGCTATCACCTTCTTTGGTCTACCATTGCAAATGTGGTGGGCACTCCTGAACAAGCCGACCGAACCCATCAGTTGATCATTTCAAACAACTACTTTGTTGGCGGCGCCGTAAACCCCCGCGACAATGATCTGAAGATCACTCCAGATGGCGACCATATTGTATTCACGGGGATTAAGTACTTCAACACTGGAGGCGTTGTGTCTGACCTGACAGTCCTTGAAGGTGTATTGGATGGCACTGAAGATCATATCTTTGCTTTGGTCGAGACCCAACAGCCCGGTATCCAGTTTGCTCACAACTGGCGCAACATTGGGTTGCGCCTGACCGAGTCTGGAGGCGTGAAGATAGATAATGTTCGTGCTTCTTGGTCAGATGCACTGGGCTGGGATTCAGCTACGAAGAAGCCTCGCGATGATACTCTGAAGATTGCGTTCCCTACTTTATTGTTGCCAACGTAAGTGCAGTCTATGTTGTTGCATATGCCATGCTCTCCTAGCAGTTGCATAACTCAAAAGTTTACTCACATTTTCCTATAGCATCCAACTAGTCTTCAGCAATTTCTACTTGGGTATTGCTCTGGGTTCTTTGGATTTCGCCTCCAAATACACCACAACCGCAACACGTGCTTGGCCTTTCGGCGGGGACAACAAGGAATCCGCAACGGATGAGTTCTACATCCTCGAACGCTATGGTAACTTCTTTGCGCATCTGCGTGCCACTGAAGCCCTTGCCGATCGAGCAGGTGATCAACTCTCAGGGCTTTATACTCGATACCAAGGGCAGAAATCTAGTCTCACGGCCCAGGAACGTGGAGAAGTTGCGGAGTGGGTCGCTAGCATTAAGGTGGTCGCCACAGATGTTGGACTCAGAGTTACTTCTGGTGTCTTTGAAGTGACTGGAGCCCGGGCGACCGCCTCAAAGGTCGGATTGGATCGATTCTGGCGGGATATTCGAGTGCACACTCTTCATGACCCAGTGTCGTACAAGAATCGGGAATTAGGACGATATGCTCTGCTGGATGAAGTGCCTGAGCCTAGTTGGTATACTTAGGTTAAGTTAGGTATACTTTGTGAATTAGAACTCCATATGAATATAAATATATATGCAGGGTCCAAGCTATACTGTATACTATATACTAATATAATAATATATACTATATACTAATATACTAATATACTAATATAATAATATAATAATATACATATACTAATATACTAATATACTAATATACTATATAATAATATACATATAATAATATACATATACTATACTATATGTCTAAGGGTCCAAGGGTCTACAGATAAGAGCCCCGCACATCCACGGGCCGATATCCTTTCGGTCCGACTTTTTTTTTTTTTTTTTTTTCTCTCTTCCCCTCCATTTTCCTTTTCTGTGGGAAAAAAAAGAGACATTCGACAGTTGTGATCACTTCACTGGTTGATACTTTGTCTTTATTGGAATTATCATTGATCATCTTCATATCTCTCTATTCATTTTCGAAATCCATCCTAACAACCACCAAAATGTCGCAAAAGCAATATGCCACCTACAATGATGTAAGAATCCCAGCATCTCGTTGTCTTTGTCAATATATATATATATATATATATATATAATTGAAGACATCGAAGACATCGAAGACACACACATGAACAACAACATCAAGATCAAGATCAAGATCCCCCTCACCCCGCAAAAAAAAAACCAAAAAAAAACAGCAGATTGTCTTATCGCAGTCCACAATTATAATCCCTCTTGAACTTTAAAAAAGACCAAAGAACTAATGCAAAATCACAACAGGTCCACAATCTCTGCAAGAACTCGGCGAATGGACCACTCAAGTCCTTCGAAATCAACCTTATAATCGCCATCGGTGGTGGTGGTTACATCCCTGCTCGCATCCTCCGGTACTTTCAATCTGCACGTGCCCCTTCATCTGGACTATGCTGATCCCTACTTGCCAAACAGATCCTTCCTCAAGGCTCCCGGTGGACCTAACATCCCTATTCAGGCCATCGGTCTGTCCCTCTACGAGCGCTTGGGCACAGACAACGTCGAGGAGGTCCCCGGTACCAAGGTCACCCGCTTGCAATGGCTCGACATGAACTCCTCGATGGCCAACTTGATTGGCAAGAACGTTCTTATCGTTGACGAGGTCGATGATACCCGCACAACCCTACAATACGCCGTGAAGGAACTCGAGGACGATGTTAAGGAAGCCCAGAAACAGCTCGCTCCTGAGGATGAAAGGAAGAACTTGAAGACTAACTTCTTTGTCTTCGTTCTGCACGTATGTTTTCTTTTTTTTTTGTCTCTGGAGGTTGATGGGTTTGACTAACAACTGGAATAGAACAAGGACAAGCCTAAGAAGGGTGAGCTGCCCACAGATATGACGGAAAACGACCAGCGTTACCACGCCGCAGTCACCACTGGGGATGTCTGGATCTGCTACCCTTGGGAGGCTGAGTATGTTATACCTCGAACTTTCTACCTTCTGGATTCTGGCTGATCTAATCTTTTTCTCCCTTCGCTTCTTGCAGAAACATTGAAGAGCACGATACTCTGGCCAAGCAAAGCCCTATCGTCGATATTTCGGGCAAGAGCCCTATCGCCAAAGATCCCTCTACCGAGGTCGTTTAAGCGAATGATTGTATTATCATAAGCATTCCATTTTGCGCGGCGCTCTGGCGGTTTACATCTGTGACTATTTTGGTCCTCGATTTTACTGTCCATGCTCAGACCAGGTGCATAAATCTGAGCGTGTAATTTTTACGATATCCTTGATGAATTTCCATAGAAAAAGTTCTTTCTTTTTTGGCAGATTGGCAGACCGACAGGCTGCCTTCAAAAGACTTTTTGACTTGAAACTGCTCTTGCACCCGTGCTGCAATTCTTTTTTTTTTTTTTTTTTTTTTTCTGAACTAAAATGCCCCATCACCGGGGGGCCTTGTTGTAATGACCAACCAGAAACCTTGGCTTTGAGTTCTCCAAACATTGTTTTGCAGACTTTGAATTGTAGACGGGTATCAAGAGAATATAGCATTGGTAGCGAGACAAAAAGTCACTGGAGCATAGTGTATTATATTGATCCGGCGCAGCCTTTTCAATCCTCCGCGTCCGAGCACCAATCCACAGCCTGAACTTCTCGGACTCGGACCCAGACCTTGTCTGCCTGGATTCTGGATCTGAGTATCCGGTTATCGGCCTAATCCATACGCAAATGGATTTCTCATTTAATCGACCTCAACCTTGCCCTGGCGCAACTCTACCTTGGCAAGCTCGATCTCCTTTTGTAGCTCAGCGTGTGCCTCGGGAACATCGTTGAAGGTGAAGATAGCCACACCCAGGCGGGCAAGAAGGTAGCAAGCGAAGACAATAAGCGCGTAGAATGGGAGCTGGGTGGTTATAGGTTAGTTTTCTTCCATCAACACATTTGAAGACCGGGGTTTGGGAGGGGGTAGTTGACAAGGTGGGTACGTACAACTGGAATGACTTCAGTCTGGACAGTCTCATTCAGGGGAACGAGTCCAAGGAAAAGGGAAAGGTAGAGCTGGCCAATTGTCAGTAAGATCCATGCGGGATTGTGTTCCTGAGATGGAGGGACTTCGTAGCATACTGAGGAGACAAGGAGAAGAACGGAGAGGGTCTGGACAGCGCGCGTCATGGTGAAATCGGTAGATAAGACAGGAGATTGACAAAGGAGAAAAAAAGAGGTCAATTGTGAAGATAGCACCGGTTTAGCGTGGTAAAAATGAGGGACTCGGGGATGTTGCAGTGCTGTATGCGGCAAAGGCCAGCTTGGGTGATGCGCTTCTTGGCGCCCGGACCTGGTCACTGGTCTTGTGTACGGAGTACCTGCCAAGTCTATGTTGTATAGTGGTATCTTCTACAGGCCGGTTATTAACACCGATGGTCTTGTGAAATATTTCTATTCATCCATATATAATTTCTCTCATATAAAAAGGACATTCATACGCAGTTAGAGATCTGCCCTTCCGCCTTGGGTACGCGGTCTGCCCAGGGGGGCACAAAATATATTATATAATCAACCAACTCTCCCGAGGTCTTGAGGTCGGGACTTCAATAAAATGCCCTCACATCAGCATACACATTCTTGACCATCGTTTTAGGGACTAGAGTCATTGATGAGCTAGTATATTTTCATATCATTTGCATTGTAAGAGAACTCCATGTGAGAAGCCCAACTCCGTAGCTGGGCCCAGATTCGGGGCCCCGATCTGCCCATGATCTATGAAACTATGATCACCATTCCAGAACCTCACCCGAGTACCGCACGAACTTGCCGCCATAATCCTCCTTGGTGCCCGTGCTCAGAACCTCAACCATGCCGGTAATAGACTTCTCATGGGTATCGGGCGCCTCCTCCATACCCCCAAAGCTGCGCAGCAGCATTGCCCATGTCAGTCTGCACCCAGCCGGGATCCAAGACAAACGCATTGAGCCACTCTTCCTCGGCGTTGATCCGAACGCCGTACCAGTTGAGAATCGACTTGGATGCGCCATATGCCGCACTTGGGACTGGAGGTTGACGTCTAGGGATAATTAGCTTCCATTTACTGTTTCCCAAATTCCAGTAGACATACGCAAGACCACCGGACCCGGATCCCATGATGGCATAGATGGGCTTTCTGGTCGACTCCTGCAGCATATCGCGTGTCGCTTGATACAACGACACGACGCTTAACACGTTGACGTTAATATGCTCGGCTATATCAGCCCGCTTGACGTCCTTCACGAGTGGATATAATTTGGCAATGCCGGCATTAGCGACGACAATGTCGAGATGGCTGATGCCCTGGTCGCTGGCTTCTTTGACTGCATCAAAGGCAGACTGCTCAACGCTCGCTTCATACTTGACTACTATAATACGGCTGCCCTCGCCTGCGGGCAGCTCGGTAAGTGCCTGAGCGGTCGAGTGCGCTGGGTCACGGACGGCAGCTATAACAATCTATCGGGCACTTAGTGTCAGTGATTGCCTCTAATTTTCAGTGGAACGGGAAAAAAGAAGCTTTTACATGGTCTGGTTTAGCGATGAAACCCTTGACCAGCCCTTGGCCCAAGCCACGATTGGCACCAGTGATGAAGACAACGATAGGGGCCATTATGGGTTGCATGGATCCTTTTAGGGCTCGATGATCATATATAGGAAGATTGTATATAGGAAGAGGCAATGGGAATTTGCGTCCGATTGATTGACTCGAAGTGGGTTCGGTCAGAGGCAGTGAGATTAAAGTATAATACCTTATAGATGTCCGACTCAATGTACACTTATATATGTTTTTAGGTGAGAATCGAACAGGCACTGTTGATTATCAATCCACATACATCCTATACCTAATCTCCAATCTCCGGCGCTCAAATTCTCCGATTACAAATGCAACTGATCCCTGTAATCTGCATCTCCAACCCAAAAGCCTGATATCACTATTTCAATGGATAATTGCGTGATCAACGTAACTATCTACTTCCATTGTCTTGAACGGGGAAAGCGGCCATATGAAAGTACCTTGTACATCCATTTGTATATTGATAGCACCATCGATCACCAAGATAAGCCCGATATTGTGTATGTTGCACCCTTACTACGACAGCCTGGGCCGAGGAGGGGCGTTAATGTATGATGCCACTGGTAATAAATAGGGCAATAAGTATGAGCTAGTTAGTTACTGATTGATAATTCGTAGTATTTGACATGCATGCGTTAGCGTCCCTTCTCGGCCGGGCTGTTGTAGCAGGGTACCTGCTCTCAAATCCATGCAAAAAGTAAACTTGATAACGAACATACAACTAACTACTAGTTTACAATTAAAAAATGGGATGATCTATGAAATCAAATGCCGGAAGGTACATGGAGCCCGAGATCACGTTGTCAAACGTGCCCTAGACCCTACGCCAAGGAATGGATTTTATGGATTTATCCATCTTGGATTTTAATACTGAGCAAAAAAGGTGCTTAACTATGAGATAATGCCGTTCCACCATTGAAAGGAACATCTTCGGAATGCCGAATGTCTTTTGCTAGTATTGGTAAACGTCTTCATGCTATTATTGGCACATATTAGGATTGAAGAATTCCGAAACAAGAGCACTCTTAAGGGTGCTCTTTCCCAAAATTAGAAGCTATAGGCTACTGGTTAAGGAACTGTAGGATAATGGTTAGTCCATCAAGCTTATGTAATTCTCCCTAATCGGGAAATTATCATGATTCATTCCTTGAATATCGTGGTTCGATTCCGCGCAGCTCCATCTATTTTTCTTTTATTTTTTTGTTGATTGATATTACATATTACCTAGGGCTATGTATGTATTTACTGTTTATCCGGGCCTCCCTCTACCTACAGAGTACAAGCTTCCAAAAAGCTTCATTTCGGTGGAAGATAGATAGATACATATGTGCCTTATATAGATGTAGGATGGAGTTTTCTTATTTAATCCAAATGAGTGTGCAGTTGCAATACAACATACAGAAAATATGATAACTAGTTAACTATGGCTCCATATAAAAACACCAGACTTGAGCCTAACCTAAACGAGATTGGTGCCTGAATCCACCTCAGGCAGCTCCGTCCACGGGTCTCTCCACGAACAGTCTAAACTTACTTTGTTTCTGCGATATTCCTGATGAGGAGTCGCTTGTCTTCCACTAATATCAAAAATCCCATTTTAGGCTCTCGTTGCCTGATTAAAAGCCACCAGTACTCTCGTATCGGAGCAAACGCTGTTTGTTGACAGGGTTTAAATTGTTACGACGGGGTCAACAGGCTGCAATCTAGGCTCCTTCATCTAATTGAGAGGGCATTTCCCGTTCGGCCAAGGAATTTGTATCTTCATATCTTCAACTCAACACGGACCCTTCCATATTACCCCACATTCCGGAGGCAACTATCTGACCTCGATTCGGCAAGATGTCTTCTGCGGATATATCTACCGCCCAAGTGGCCGTTCATGGAGATGCTGGCCACTCAGTCTCGAAAAAGGGGGGTTTGGAACTGCCTCCTATCAAAAAGGCTCTCTCAGATCTACCGGAGATTTCTTCCTCTTTGCCAACCCGCACGGAAACCATTGACTCGGAAGAGCAACAGGAGATGTTTCATGAGTTGCGAGACATCATTGAAAAGGCCCAGGAGGTCGACGATGCTGGAAATAGCTTCGATCTCAAGGAGCTCCACGCATCTCTTGAAGAGGCCGATGCAAACGCAAAACGCGGGCGACGGGACGCCAACACCCTGCAAAGCGTGAGCGCCACTCTGCAAAAGCTCTGGGCTTGTAACTCAGAGTACTTGGTACAAGCCACCGAGATTATTGCGGATGGTAGCAGAGATCGTGGGTCAATTCTATATACATGTCAATTTTATAACTCGCTAATTATGTTTCAGCTTCATGGCGTGCTCCATTTGGCCAGTCTGGCGTTCTGAAATTCTTCCTGGATGTGGTCTCTTTGAAGGGCGAGGTTGATACCAGTTTGTTACTTCACTCTTTGCGAGTTATTGGGAACTCGTGTGCCGATACAGGTATGCTGCAATCAGTTGCATATGTACCCATATAACTAACGTTGATGCAGATGAGAATAGGGAGATTGTTATCAAGGGAAACTATACGCTTGCTATCATTCGATATTTCCTTGATCCAGATTTGGTCTTTGTTGCAATTCCGGTCATCTACAACATTTGCATGGATTACAGTATGCCCAGAAAGAACCGGCTGGTGATACACGTCTTGCTAATATGATGTCAGAACCAGCACATACTCAGATAGCTGCCAACCGGACGGCCTACATCCTGTTGAAGCTGATCAAAGATGGCGAGATCGAAGACAATGAGGCTCTACTCAATTTCTCATACGACTTGATCGAGTTGGCCTCAGAGCAATGTATGCATCCCAATCTCAGTCTGTTTTTCCGATCTAACATATAACTTACAGCTGAAGGCATTGAAAACTCTCCCGACGGAACAATTTTACTGCTGATGGAGCTTGCTATTGATGAGACTCTTGATTTTGCACATTTCTCGTCACTGGCAACTTCTCTTGCTGCTTATCTAGGAAACGAAAAGTTCCAGAATGCCTGTGTGTCCAATGAAATGGTGGAAGGCGTGCTGGACGTCCTGCGCCATTCATTTTCGATTGTGGTAGACCCTTCTTTGAGCGAAGACGTCAAGGCTCTCGCGCAGCTCCGCCTCAAGATTAACCAGGCTTTGGCTGAGGTATCTGCCTCACCATTGTTTGCCCAGCATTACCCTCTTGACTCTCCTCTTTCACAGACATTGAAGTCATGGGTGGTTGCAACCGAAGATCAACTTCAGATCTGCGCCTGTGTCATGCTTGGAAACCTAGCCCGGTCCGATGAGGTCTGCCAGGTGATGGTCCGGGACCTGAAAATCCACAAAGAATTGATATCCGTTCTCAGGGGAGATGCCCGTGGTGCAGTCCTACACTCTTCACTTGGTTTCCTGAAGAACCTTGCAATTGCCGGCGACAACAGAGCCATTCTTGGAGAAGCCGGTATCATTCCTGCCGTTTCACGACTATGGGCATATGAATCTGTTCCGCAGGTTCAATTCTCGGCTGCAAGTATCGCGCGTCAGGTGATTATCTCCTCGATGGATAACATTTCCCATCTTCTCGCTCCTCTCTCACAAGATGTTGATTCCCCGGCTCACCAACGGACCTACCTCTCTCTGCTCCTGTCTCTTTTCGAGAAAACGGACTCCACGCCAATCAAGACTGAAATCGGACGGACAGTTGCTTCAATCTGTCGGACTGTTAGCCCCAAGGCTCGCGATGGAGATAAAGAAGCAATGTCCTTGCTTGACCGGCTATACACCTTACACGAAGGTGTTTCGCTACCAGTAGGTGCGATGATCACACAGACTCAGTGGCCTGTCGTTCGCAGTGAAGGCTGGTTTGCTCTGGCTCTAATGGCGACAAACAAACTTGGTTGTGCCGCGGTTGTGGACTGCTTGCACAAGACGGAGGTTACCGAGTTGCTCAAGACGACCCTAGGCGGGAGCACTCCCAATCAAGATAAGGCCGAGGAGAAAGATAAGTCGCAAGAGACCAAAGATCGTGACAATGCTTTTGTGCTCGTGCAAGGACTGTTGACGAACGAGGTGAGTTTTCTGCCCTAGGACAATGCTAGTCATTTACTAACCGCCAAATAGTCTGGTGCCCTTCCTGTGGGTTACAGAGATATGCTGGAAGAATTGGTGAAGGTCAGTGCCTCACAGTTGAAGGCAGCAACAGATGTTTAGTTGGACAGCTCCAACATGATATGATGCATTTAGAACAAGTGTTATTATTGTTGGATATGATGTGATTCCTGGGCCGAATATGTGCTTTGGTTTGTTGTGGAACCAACATCGTCTAGAAATGGACTCAAAGGAAGGCCATGAAGTACCTTGCTAGAGGGACAAAAAAGAGGGACACTTCTTGCTGTATGTATCCCTCGAAACATGACAATTTGAATGAAGTCTCGGTATGGGCATAGAGAAAGCTCGAGTACCCAGCGAAAGGAACCCACTAGTTAGTTACTTTATAAGAACTTAGTTGTAGAAATGCAGAAGTTGAACAAAACCGTTGTGTATATACGTATACATATATGTACATGTAACTTCCTCCATTAATTGACACAATCTGATACCCGGGGGCTTTTGAGATCACTCAGTCTGTAAACATACATTCTCCTGTGCATATGCTCGGTAACGAGTTAGGAGATCCGTAGCGTCCAAACCAGCTGCGCCTTGGCGGGCAGAATAATGTGAAACAAGTCCCTTGCCATCTATAATGACATGCGGGCGAGATCCATCCGCCATATGCCAATTGTGGGAAGATCCCTTTTGGTTGCGCAAAATGCTGTGCACATCAACTGCATCATTACCCCAGAAGCACCCGAAATTCTCGCTGGTGGGCTCAGTTGGGTCGACCCACATCGGGAACTTGTAACGGCCTAAATCATTGTGTTCGAGATGGTGCAAGAAGGAGTAATGTTGCTGCGCACCAACAGTCCAGTCATGCAGGGTCGGACCAGTGTCGGTATATACAGATCTCGCGATAGGATCTCGGCCAGAGCCGGCATCTCTGGGGAGTAGCCAGCGATGGCCTTCAAATGGCGGCTCAAAGTCTTTGCGTACTTCGAAGTTCGGTGGGCCCTGCCAGCTTGGAAGACTCGAAGCACGCCAGTCGTACCTTAGTTGCGACTTTGATCGAGATGGTTGCTTCACGTCGTACAATTCAGGCAGATATGGGAGTGCAGTTCCCGGATGACTGTGAAGAGATGCGAGGGCTGCCTCGTTTATCACATTGGCCGATACCATCAGTGTGCTTGGATTGTCGAGTTTCGTCTTGACGATGGTCGAAATGGCGTTGTCCTCCAGAAACACGATATCGCCGTCGATCCGGATATACATCACATTATCCTTTGCAACTTTCCACTCCATTTCATGACCGCGAGAAGAAATAGCATACTCGGGTGTTTGATTCACGATAGAGTACAGCCATTCCATGCTGAGAGCGTCATCAGTCTGCGGTACGAAGACGACCTGATCAAGAAATCCATTATTGTGGACTAAGTTTTTCTTGGATGATATTAGACTTAATCCATATAGTAAGGGCGAGGTCGTACATACCTGCAAATAGCAGTCCAGAATTTCTGTACGCTCATGATAATGGAAGGGAACTAGAGCCACTATCTTGAAGCCTTGCGGTTTAGAGTAATGACCTGTTCCTTGTGAGAATGCGAAGAACGGAGAAATCTCCTTGCGAAACAGCAACGAAGAGATATCAAACGGTATAAGCCCCGGGTTGCAGTAGGCTAACACGATAAAAATGATACATGCATAGCCGGTAATGCCCCACAGAAGGACAAAGGCCCAATCGCGCCAGTGCGAATGCTTTTTCTCATTGTTGGATTCAATATCGCGAAGGTTCTGGGTATGACCCATGATTAATAGTTCCCGCGCCATCTAGCAGTTGTCCGAGGAGCCGAAGATAGTGGAAATGGCATTGTGAATCTCTGGGCATAATGGCCTAATTTAATGCCGAGCAAGACCATATTTCCGGTCGTTTGATTAAGGCTTGATGATCCGTTTTCGGAATCTTGAAGTCCTAGCAGTCACTAACAGAAACCGCTATAAAACAAGATCGACCCCCTCAACTCTTTCTCCTTGACAAAGAGCTAGGATCTGCCTTGTATATTGCCAGATTGGGTAATGGTTGATTGCAAGCGGATCAAGGACGAGGAATGTGGTTGTGGAATGCAGGCGTCGATGACTTCGGATGATTAGACAGAACCTAAATAGAGCTCTTGATGTACAACGTACCCCATGCATATGTATACAACGAATTAAGGTGTGCGTACAACATATTTTGTAACTATTGTACAAGTTTACGTTGTATATGTTGTAGTTATGTGTTTTATAGTGATGTTGTTTGTCTTGTTTGTCTATGACGTCGAAGCACGTGTTTATCGTCCACTTTGACCGGAGGAGTTCTATCCCGAGGCTACTTCTTACCTCTCTACCTCTACTAACTCCTATTAAATTCTTCATTCTATGTTAATATTATACGCCTGCATGATAACATGAAGGCGGTCGGTCTCCTCGGCCGTTTCTGTCTCAAACGTGGACTTCCACGTCTCCCCCGACAGCATTTCAATCGCCCGCCATGGCCTCGGCAACTAAAAGGCACCTCGCGAAGGGCACCCGTAATAGGTGGGGTGCTCATGGCTACTCTGGCACCAGCTGCTTTTTTGAAACTGGCGGAAGAGAATGATAGCCACGACAAGACTGCTGAAATGCAGATGCTGGAGGCTTCGCGCGAAGAGGTCCGGAAGACAATTTCACCCGACGCGCAAGGCGTCTCGAAGCTCTGCCAGACAATATGGGTCTACTTTTATTGTTATATCTATGATCCTATTGCTACAGGGATCCGCTTTGTGCACCTTGCCGTCATATTCATTCCGGTCGTGGTGACGGTGCCCGCCATCTGGCTTGGTCGCAAAGTGCAGGACCGGGATGGCGCGCGGTCTGGCACATTGTGGTGGTATCGGTTCTTGGTGAATGCAATGGAGCGGGCTGGTCCGGCATTCATAAAGGTATTTTGTGGTTGGCGAATAATTATATATTAAGACTGAACTGACAAGTTGACTTCTTGAATAGCTTGGCCAATGGGCTGCATCACGAACAGATATCTTCCCACCGGAAATGTGCAACATAATGTCGTCACTTCACTCGAATGCCCCCGCTCATTCACTTCACCAAACGAAGCGCATCATCCGCAAAGCATTCAACGGACTGCCATTCGAGGACATATTCGAAGAGTTCCAGGAGGAACCACTGGGCGTGGGAGCGATTGCACAGGTCTATAAGGCAAAGTTGAAACCGAGCCTTGCTGCAACCAATGAAGTAGAATTGGGCATCGAACCACCAACGCTAGGCGAGAAGGTTCGAAAAAACGTCGACGTACTCGTCAAGAGTTCCCCGCAGCGGGTGCCATCATCGTATGTCGCGATCAAGGTGCAGCACCCCAAGGTTGAACAAATGATACATAGAGACTTGCGGATCATGTCATTTTTCGCTCACATGGTCAATCTCATCCCCACGATGCACTGGCTGTCTTTCCCCGATGAAGTACAACAATTTGGGGAAATGATGAAGCTGCAACTGGATCTGCGGATTGAAGCCACCAACCTCGTCATATTTCGCCAGAAATTCAATTCTCGCACTACTGCTTGGTTCCCATACCCATACTTAGAATACACCACCCGTGAAGTGTTGGTTGAGGAATTTGCCCAGGGCATCCCGTTGGCCACCTTCTTGGATATTGGAGGGGGTTTATATCAACACGATATTGCCAATGAAGGCCTTGATGCATTCTTGCACATGCTGCTCATAGACAATTTTGTTCATGCCGATCTCCACCCGGGGAACATCATGGTTCGTTTCTACCGACCTAGCGAGCTGGACCTCTCCCTTGGCAAGCATTCGCGTGCGTTCAATGCCCCGACGCGGGCCGAAGTTGATGTGACAGAGGCAGTCCTCGAGCGGTTACGTCCGAGCCTCAATGACACTGATGATTGGAACGCTGCTCTTTCCCAGCTCCACGACGAGGGGTATCGACCGCAGTTGATATTCATCGACACTGGTCTTGTTACTCAGCTAAACGACACCAATCGGCGGAACTTCCTGGACCTCTTTCGAGCTATCGCTGAATTTGACGGATACCGGGCTGGTCACCTCATGGTCGAGCGATGCCGAACACCAGAAGAGGTTATTGACCCAGAGATATTTGCGCTGAAAATGCAGCATTTGGTTTTGAGTATCAAGTCTCGAACTTTCGCTCTGGGGAGTGTCAAGATTGGCGATATCCTCAGTGAGGTATTGACTATGGTCCGCGGGCACCACGTTCGGTTTGAAGGAGATTTTGTCAACGTCGTCATTTCATGTCTGCTGCTTGAAGGAATAGGACGTAGTTTGAACCCCAACATGGATCTGTTCAAGAGGTGAGTTTTCTCCACGAGGCTTTTGATTTGTTCAACTGAGGCTGACTTTGTCTAGTGCACTTCCTATTCTACGGCAATTGGGATCCGGAACTTCATTCTTGGAGACTGTGCGCTCGGGTGACTACTCAATGCTCTGGGTTTGGGTCGGCCTGGAGGCTCGTGGAATGCTGCAGGCCAGCGTCGAGAGTGTTGAGCATTGCGTCAAATACGACCAACTGTCCCCTAATATATAAAGTCATTCGCCATTCTCTCTCTTTTTTTTTTGTTTTGTACAATACACGCCCGATGCTTCACTGTTGATATGAAAGATCAGATGGCATGCCCGTTGAATGATGAAAAGTCAGCCATACTAGTTTCTTTTTGATAACGATGATGATTTAGAGAAATATACTTATCTTTAAAGAAATCATCTACAAGCAAAACGTGAAACCTCTTATGTTTGGGGAAAAGGTGAGATTAATGCAAAGATATCATCATCATGTGTCTATTTTCATAGACTAACGGAAAAAAGATCAAGGTTGTGATATAAGAATAAGACACAGAGGGAAGAAGATAAACATCGTACAAGCACAAGCGAAGATAAGCAATGGAACGCCAGCGCCATGCCTTTTCGAATAATTACAGAGTGGAGAGAAGTAGAAAACCTGGTTGTTGCAGCCGTAAAACACTCTCAGCGCGAGGTCTGTTCACGAACAGCTGCGCCGCTAGCCCTCCACCAGACATCACCTCCCCACCTCATTAAGCGCTCAACAGCAGCCGTTGGTGTATCTAAAGCAGGGCGGATATCAAGGTGGAAGACAGGTAGTCCGTGGGGATCTGGATCCCCAGAGTAGTAATCGATCACGTATCGAACTTCCTTCGGGCCCCAAGGTGTCTGGCGGATGACATACCAATCGTGACGGTCAAATGGAGGACTTGTCCTGTTGGAACTGGGGTCAGCATTTTGCTTGTAAATACCGCAAAGACAATCCTTACTCAAACTTGCTTGGGTACGCCCAGCTCAGTGCCTGGTATACCTGTGCCTTAGGTGACCACTCTTGTGGCCGACCTTGGAACCGTAGTAGACGAGGCTCGGAGGTCGAATCGAATTTACCATTCTCATCTGCATAGGTCAAGTCCATGCTCAGGTTTTCCTCGCCGCGGCGGCAGTGGTCCCATCCAGACTTGAGACCCTTGGCGAATACGCGCTCCCATCCCACGATTTCGTCCCAGGCGCCTTCGTTCAGGAAGTTGTGCACCGCAACCATCGATTCCACTGCATCCTGGGGGGGTGTCTGTGTGTCCTTTGCGCAGCATGGCATTGTACATTTGTTGGGGAGACGGATACTCCCAGTTGCCTTCGCCGTCGCCCCTTGGGATCGAAGAGCCTTCGCGCTCAACAGGAAGGTCAACAGTTTGATTAGCGGCGCGCTCTTGGGAAATAGACGAGAACATGTAGTTCAGAGGATTAAGCTTTGAGAGAGTGGAGGGCTGCGGTGCGGTGTCCGTGGGTGGCTGCGGTGTTTGCGCCGGTGTTGATTTTGGGGCCGAATAGAATGGAGAATCTTTCGACTTCATAGGACAGCTGCTGGGGAGTTCAGCAGCAGGTGCTGGTGAGGGTGAGGGCTTCGAGCCCGATTCATGCATCGGACATCCCGGCTTTAGATAAGAGTCAGTCTAGACAATAAAAGCTGTACAGGTTGCGCAAAACGAACTGGAGGAGATGCATTTGAGGATGCATGTGGGATTGAGACTGCAGAAGTCTGCGGGGTGTCTGTCCAGAACCAACCCATCTTGAAGTATGAAGCAAAGAAGCAAAGAAATTTGATTGTAAGATCCAAGGCAAAAGTGAACGCGATAAAAGACCGGAGAAAGCGGACTTTTTTTTTTGATGACATAAAGCTGCCACGTGATAGGCTGAGCCTAAAGCGGTGAAATATAAACAAGTCATCCATCGATCTATAGCCCTGGAGGGCTTTTTATACTTCAACTTTTTATATTTTTTTTCTATATCTTTTCAATACGTATTTATATCCTACATAAGACCTGCTTTTCTGTTTTCTTCTGCTTTTTATTACTATTACTGCTGGGTTTGTGCAAAAATATACAAGTGCCCATAATTGAGAGCTAAGTAAGGGAGAGTGCACCTGTTCCAAGAAGAGAAGAGAATTCCAGTTCCTCCGACTCGGATATAACAAACCCAGTCATCGCTTCATCCCAGACAGATCGCCAATTCAAACTGTCCAAAGCTACAACAAAGAAAAATTCAGCCATCAGTTTCGAAATTTGCTCCCACGACTGCCATCCACATATCATTGCGACACGGGCCAGCCGCTCCACAAACCACTGTCTCCCAGGCTGTCCAAGGGCACCTTGGGCTCCGACAAATAATGCCCAAACGTAAAGTCCAAAGTTTTGATTTGGTAATCCCACAAGAAGAGACAATTTGCAGCCATCCAACGCTGTCTGGAGATGTTTCGTAAGTGCTCGACCCAATCCAGACGAGGAAGGCGAGACAATCAGGAAATGATTGAGATAACAAATAGAAGCCACTCGAGTGACTGCTTCAATCGGATGAAGATTGGGCTCCGGGTTAGGGGAGCCCTCTGCGTAGATGTAGCTGAGAAGTTGATGCTCTGCTTCGCAGTTGAGAATGCGGAAAAAGTCTTGGTCACCAGGCTTAATGACCGTGGGATTTGTCTGATAAGTGATACTAAAGAATACCATGTCACGAAGCACAATTATGATCTTCAACAAGGAGGGACTGAGAAATGTATTGGCAGAAAATCCCGTGCCTAGTCTGTTGAGAGGAGACGAAGCCAGTGGTCTGATTCGCTGTTGGATCTCCGAAGGGATTGGCTGTGCATCCCAAGTTAATGGGAAAACGGGTTTGGTCATGAGGCCCGAGGCAGCTTTGATGTCGGTTCTGTTTCATCAACCGTGAGCGGAACTCAGTAGAGAGATGAGCCGGAAACACACGTACGTGATGATGGCAGACAACATAGAAGAAGAACGAATACTCTCATCTGTTATTCCGCCCCGCAGATCAACCATATTTTTAAGTCCTGTTAGGTGAGTATGGACCTCGCTAAATTCTCCGATGATCAGCTGTGGCATGTCAGCACTACAACACTGCAACCCCCAACGTTCACGAACAGAGTCCATACCGAACCAGTGAGGAGATTGATAATGGTATCAAACGCCTCATTGCTGAGTCTGCGACTCGGATCCCGTACTTTTGCACTCATCTCTTGAATGGACTTTGCTCTCATCATACAGTAGTCAGGGTCGTTGGTAAGCACCAAGTCCCAATTACCCGATCGCTGGCTTGCGAGAACGGCTCGATGTGCAGCGCACATGCTCATCAGCCCAAAGAAACTACCCGGATCCGAGAATGAGGATCGAACCATTAGTTCCATCTCTTGATTCGAATCTTTGCTTGTGTTCGGAAAAGTCATCGGTACGAATATGGTTTTCCCTTCGCCTTGTAGTCAGCTCTAGTTCTGGGGAGGCGCATGCAGTATGGAACACCCTAAAATGGCCAGAACAATAGGCAACATTGAAATGAGTAATACTTACAGTAGTACACCAAATGTGCCACCATTGATGGGAGCTCACTGGTACCGGGTAAGGTAAAGAAAGGATCAAGAAACCATGAGGTAGGTGGATTAGGATTTGAATGGAGAGGCAAAGGATAGCCAGCACACCACCGGAGAGGACGCCCACGATAAATCGAGGCGAAACCATCTCCAGTGTCTGTGTCCAGTATGGAAGATGTAGCGGAAGACTGGGATGAAGCCCTCAACACTAGTCTTTGTTCATTTAACTCATCAACAGCAACAGCAGCCTTGGAAGTATTGGATTGTCCGCGATTCTGTCTGGATGTTCGTTTCAGCCCAGCAAGTCTCTCACGTCGGCGTACATCACGCATAACATGAGAACGAATTGCCTTGCGTGCATTGACATCTTTAATCCTCTTGGAGGTCAAGTCGTCATCGTGATCGATGAATGTAAAGGAAGGCCGATCCAGCGGCGCAGGTTTGGCCTTGGGTTCTAGTCGGGTACTTCAGTCTAACTTCTTAACAATCAAGGGGGTTTTTCTCTTTTGGTGCAACTCTGACACCTGCTGACTGATTGGGGGGGGAAAATCCATAGACAAATAGGAAACAAAGAGCCATATCACTCAGAATGAATATGAATTTGATCTCAAAAAGAAGCAAAAGATCTTCCCCCTCCACTCCCCAAAAGACAAAAAAATCCCAAGATGATTCCGAGTTCAGTAAGGCCATATTTCCTCAATATTAAGGGATTAAGGGTATATCCAAACCAGAAAAGCACTGACCTGAATGGGTATGCCGAGGCGAACCAAAGGTGAAGGGCTGCAGATGATCCATCCGAAGGCCAAGGCAACGGAATGCAAAGGAAAAGAGGCAAAACACAGAAGACAAACCAATAAAGAAGTGGATAGCAGGTTATGCAGTTGGGGGTGAAGGCGGATTTAGAAGAGAAAAGGAGTGTAGTTACGTTGCCAATGGTTTGCCAATGCGGGGAGCACAAGCCCAATTCAGCAGGAATCTTCTGGGATGATCCGGTGCTCAATGGTGTAACCTATTTCTCTTATTTGGAAAAAAGTTCTTGGAGTAATCAAAAGGAATCTTAGGACTTCATTGTCTTGGAGTCTTGGAGATATAAAATAGAAACCCTCATGATACCCCAAATAATGCTGGCGAACCCGCTAAGGAACAGGGACAACAACTAGAAAAGAAAAGAGAAAAAAAAAAAAAAAAAAAAAAGCCTAGGATAAAACATGAAGACAAAGGGTATTCTAACATAAAAAAGAAAGAAATAAAGGCATTAAGAGTCTCATCCTCGCACATCACTCAATAGTCGTGAGATCAAGGCATAGCCAAAGAAGACAGCAACACAAATCCAGACTCGGTTTCGTCCAGCCCAGCCTTGACCAGCCTCTCTCGCAACGTGTCCACCATCCACAACAGATCCAATTCCAGGAGCACTACCGTTGGGTCGTCGACGTAGAGCAATTGTCTCTGGGGAACATTTGGTGGGCGCATTGGGGTCAGGCAGAATCTGGCCGGTGGCGGAATCAATACGATGCTCTTTCATCCAATCCCAGTTTTCCTGGTCGAGTTCAGGCCATTCGGTGCGGAACTTCAAACCTCCATCTCCCGCCTTAACATTGTTGATACCCTTGGAAGTTCGAGTGACGCCGGCAGTGGCGCTAACATGAGAACCTCCTCCGGTTGAGTTCCACCACCGAGATCGCGCAGCAAGCACTCTGCGCTCACTTTCCGAACCACTAACACTTCCCGTGGTCATCTCTTCACTGGTCATGAAAGAGAGAAGACCGATGAGAATGGTCGAGACTTCCCAGGCGGGGTTGAAGGATTTCGGGTGGAAGTCACTGATGCTTAGACAGAGTCGAGTGGAAGGCTGGAATCGGCCGCTGGGAGTGTGCATGCGGATGGCGGGAGGAGCGAATGGGTACTCTGGAGGGAAGATCAATGTACCCCAGTACTGTCCATTTTCATAAGGAGTTCCCGGAGGTCCAGTGAGGATGTAATGCCACCTAGCGCAGGTTAGCTTCGGAGTTCTGCAGCAATGTGGCGATGCGAGGGGATGTATCTCACTTACTCAAGGATATTGGTCTCAGATGGATGGGTCACAATAAATGGTGTGGGATCTTTTTGGATATTTTGGTATTCGCGAGTGAGCTATATAGTAACTATTGTTAGATACTATTCATGGATAACCGATTAGCTTTGAGGTCTGGCCACTTACCCGTTTGAAAGCCGCCTTTGTCGCCATCTTTGGTGATATATGAGTAGAAGGGAGAGATTTTGCAAAGCAAAACAAGACAAGTGTTCTATGTTAGCACTCTAAGAAAGCGAAACTGAGGAAAAGAGCTTGAATAGTAAAAGAAGTTGCGGAGTCAAAAGGTGGATTGTTGCAATCAGGCGCTCATGTTCACTGGGTCACGTGCTGGTTCCATGTCTTGCGGGTTCGGCACGAGCACCCCGATCTGCCCGATCTGTTCCCCGGAGGCCAAAAGTTCTGGCCATTGCAGCCACAAAAATGTCTTCCTCTTTTGGTGAAGGAGACGAAAGTGTCAGTGCATATCTCAGGCAGCTCATGAGCTGCCTGAAATTGTTTAGTTGACCCTTTACTAACTCCTAGTTATCTACTTCTAGGTCTTCGAGCGTTTGCAACAGCGAGCAGACCCCAAGGTCTTGGAAGAGCAACAGCAGGCCGTGAATGAGCGCATGCAAGCTATTTACCAAAAGGCCCAGAACCGACTTGCTGAATTGGTATGGTCTTCAAATCTTAGAAACCGATGACAAGCAATTCGCGTTTACTTGCGGAGTTCCCCGGCTGATCGCGATATCTATTAGATCGACGAAAACTCGACCTTGCCCTGCACCATATCCTCTGTTCAAGTCACCAGTGCCCCTCATACTCGACGAAGCTTCCTTGAGCGCAACTTGAGCCCGCTTTTGAGTGCAAACAAGGGTCGGCCGTACACACTGTCCGAAGCGTTACGGGAAGTGTCAGCTACCGCAGATAAACTTGGACGTTTCGGTATGAGATGACAGTATAATAATAATAATCATGGGTGTCTACTAACATAGTCTCAGATCTCTTCCACCAGCCTATTTCGGTCTACTTGGACGAGTCGCAAGGCCAAGATGGCATGCGCAACATCGATGTCCATCTGGCGACGCGAGAGAAGTCCCGCGTGCTGATGAAGACCGGAACGGACTTGGGTAACGCTGAGGGCTCAGCCTACGGTAATCTTCTCTGGCGCAATGTCTTCGGTGGCGCCGAGACTTTGAACCTGAACGCTTCGCTCGGTACCCGGACACGGTCCGCTTACCAGGCTGCATTCGAGACTCCCGTCTTGGGTGATCCCGATTTCCGCCTAGAAATTGGCGGTATTGCAAGCTCCACCCAGAAGTCTTGGGCAAGCCACGAGGAGGTTCTCAAGGGTGGCTGGAGCAAGCTCCGATGGATGTCCAAGTCAGGCCACCGTCACGAATTTGGATACAACGGTTTCTGGAGACAGCTTACTGGCCTTGCGGAAAACGCCTCCCCTACCGTCCGCGCGGATGCAGGTGACAGCGTGAAAAGCAGCATCTTCCATAGCTGGGTTAATGACCAGCGGGACAATGCCCTTCTGCCATCCCGTGGTTACTATCTCAAGGCCTTCAACGAACTAGCCGGATTTGGCCCGCTCAAGGGTGACGTCTCGTTCTGGAAGTCGGAAATTGAGACACAGGGTGCCATTCCTATTCCGATCCCAGGAATTAAGGGTGACAGCGGTGTCAGCCTCACCACCGGTTTCCGTGCCGGTCTTCTTTGCCCTCTTGGACTGGAATCCAATCCCCGCCCTCAACTTTCCCGTGTCAATGACCGCTTCCAGCTTGGAGGACCTACTGATGTCCGTGGATTCCGCCTCTGCGGTCTCGGTCCCCGTGAGGGCGTTGATTCACTAGGCGGTGATGTGTACGCCGCCGGAAGCGCCAATCTACTATTCCCGCTTCCTCGACTTGGCGCTGAGAAGCCTGTGCGGTTCCAGGCCTTTTTGAACGGTGGTCGCTTGCTTTCTCTGCAAACCTCACAGAAAGCCACTCCTACTACTAATGGTGAGGTGCAGGATGCCCTGGTGTCAAGTCTCTCTGAACTACAAAATGGACTGCCCAGTGTCGCAGCTGGCTTCGGTGTTGTGTATGCCCACCCTGTGGCTCGCTTTGAGCTTAACTTTTCCTTGCCTCTGGCGTTGCGAAAGGGCGAAGAAGGCCGCAAAGGGCTCCAGCTGGGCATCGGTATCAATTTCCTGTAAACATTGATAAGTAGATTTCTTGCGGATTCGACCATACCGTATACATTGTTTTACCAATTCCAATCAAATTCAAATTAATGTTAACATTTTAAATACGAAAAAAGAAAGACATCCTCTGTCAACAACTAGTTAACTACCTAGGTAACTGGTTAGTTATATAATCAATGTACACTTGAGTTGAGTTCGCGGGCCGATTAGACGCTTAGTCATCCTGTCATTATTGAGGCCATTTGGAGCTTCGAAGCTCTCTACAACAATCTACATTTTAGCCAATCGCTAGTCCTACATTCAAACAGAAACTAGCGATCTTCCGCGCTTCACGCCGTCAGTCACGGCAATGGCCCAGTACTATCCACAACAGCAGGGCTACGCCCCCAAGGCTCCGCACCACAGAATCTCCAGTTCTTCCCTTCGACCTACTCCTCGGTTTCCGGTCACACAACCCCTTCACAAGCATCTTATGGCGCCGGCTTTGGTGGAGCTCCTAATCCCTCTGCGCAGTCCTATCCTGCCAGTAGTGGATATGGGGGTTTCGGGTCTCCGGCCGCTGGCGTCAGTGGACGGATGGGCGAACAGGGCGGCTTGAGGACGGGTTGGTTGGCTGCGTTTGGGACGGAGGGGTACGATGGTGAACCACCGTTGCTTGAGGAGTTGGGTGTCAACTTTGAACATATCCGGACCAAGGTTAGTGTGGATTGTGGATTGATTTCATATCAGGCGCGTTTAGGAGACGTGGGGTTGCCTTTCTTTTACCCCGGGTCTCATTTAATTATAGTCCTGGTCAACGGTGAATACCCGATGTTGGATGCTAACAGTTTCATTCTCTAGACTCTGACTGTTCTGAATCCCTTCGCCTCTATCGATAATCATCTTATGGACGATAGCGATCTCTACGGAGCTCTGCTTTACATTGTCTTATACGGCACTTTCCTCCTCCTCTCAGGAAAAGTGTTCTACGGCTATATCTACGGTGTCGCCGTTTTCGGTACCGTCGCTTTGCATCTGATACTCAGCCTCATGTCTCCTGCTCTCGACACTGTCCCAACTCCCAACGCCGCCGACCCTACCAACTACAACCCCCACCACAAACCCTCCATGTCCGGTGCCTCGGCCGCGGGCCATTTCTCTGCCACTCTGACCTTCCCTCGCTCGGCTAGCGTGTTGGGCTACTGCTTCCTTCCTTTGGTGCTTACCAGTCTGATTGGTATCCTAATTCCAATGGACACCATGCTCGGCTATCTCCTGACCATTGCCGCTGTTGGCTGGTGCACATACAGTTCGTCAGGGATGTTCTGCGCTGTGGCGCGCATGAGTGGCATGAGGGGTCTCGTGGCGTATCCATTGGCTCTGTTCTATGTTGTTTTTGGAATCATGGGTATCTTCTCTTCGCGCGGCGCCAGCTCGCTGGCTGCGAAGACGGGTGCAGCTTGAAAAAGTTGGGCTTTGGTTGATACACGTTCTCTGTCCATGTATTGCATGGATGGTCCTTTAGGCCAATGCCGGCGATGTCTAGAGTCTTAATTTTAGACCAGCCTTTGCATTTTAATCATGAATATTATGAAATTCCAGCTGTGTTTATACATCATTCATTATGCATTATCGGATTCGTCTATCTTAATGGTAAGTATGTAGGCCTTCATTTGATGCAAAACAAGCCCATGCTCTCATATCAAATCATGTCTGGAGCCACACCTAGGAGGATCATGTACTCGTTGCGCCCTGGGTTGGTGCCCATTTAGACAGCCACTCTCTCGCCTTCTCCAAATCACCGCCCGCGGCTTCTGCTGCTGCGATACACCATGGTAGATCATACACTTTGTCATTCCCTTCATTGCTCTCTACCGCAATCAGCTCTGCGAGATTGCGACGGTGTTGACTTGTTTCGTCAGCACAGAGGTATAAAGGTGCCGTATTAGGCACATCCGGCTGGGTGTTTAGAGCTTCGACAAGTGGGCGTGTCAACTTCATGATTTCCACCACACTCATCGTGGCTGGAGGACCAGAGTCGGATGCCATTTGCTGCTTTGCCGTCTTGCAGTACTCGTTCTGACACCAAGGCTTGCCACATCCGGTCATCATCTGCGAGAGATATCGGCGTTCAATGCGACGACGCAGTGCTTTGCCCTCTGGATCGTGGGTGTCAACATACAGCGGTCCGAAACAGAAACTGCACAGGCCAACAGACTCATTTCCGGTTTTGTTCGATGTCCTGCCGCAATTTCTGTTCATACATATGCGCGGCGCGGGTCGAGAAAGGCGCTCCAGGTCATGGTGACGAAGATGAGTGTTCATGTCACGTAATCGGATAATCTTATTACACAGATGGCATTCGGTGGTGCGTCCTCCATCCACCAGCTCGTGTGGGGTGAGGCCGGAGAGCATCACCTCTGGATCACGGAGATCAGGGTCAGAATCGCCTTTCTGCGGCACGAGAAGATGGCAGAATTGGCAGAGAATCAATTTCCCGGGGCAATCCGTGGTACGATGTTGCGCAAGACTAGGGAGTCCTTCAAAATCCCCAGCACAATCGACGCATTGGTGTGTTTGGTGGAAGATAGCGTCATGCTTTTCTTTGCTTGCAGCATCACTACCATGGGCGGAATCTTGTGGACAGTGCCAGTGGCCTTGCCACTCCGGAGACCGTTTCTGAAAGACATTCTGGCACTGCGGACATAATATATTATTCCGGAGACAGAAGTTCTCGTGGAGAACTAGTGTCCGGTCGGGAACCCATTGCTGGCAGTTCTTGCACTGCACATCGCCAGGTTCGTGAGACTCATCCGTCGCATTATGACTATCCGATGAGTCCAATGGATTCACTGTAATCCGCAGGTGGTACTGCGGTGGTGACTGCAGCTGTGGATCCGAGGATTCCCTACTTGAAGGATCGGCGTGAACTGCTATATAGAGGGCCTCGGCATCTTCCATAACCACATTCGTGGGCCGAAGATCGAATTTCTTGGGCGATTGGCTCGAAAAATCCCCCAATGCATGGATGTCCGATCTCGGACGACTTCTCTGGCGAGTAGAAAAGGGACTAGCAAAAAGACTCACTTCCGGATTGTCCGTAGTAAGCTCAATTTGAATAGTATCCTGGCGGTTCCAATCCCGAAGCTCATAATCCACATATTCCCCAGGCAACACTTGGGCAGTGACCTCTTCTCCGATGCTGAGAATGCCACCGATCGAACTGCCGCTAGTTGTACCCGGCGCACGTGAAGCCTTTTCCAATCTCTTCTGTAGTGTTTCTCGGGCCTGTTCCTCTGACAATGCGACGATGTCAACTTCAAGATCCGTATCCACCACGCATATTCCTTCGCCTTCCGGAAACACCTTATCTACCAAGAATCTGAATGACTCGTTCCGAGTACCCGGCACTGTCAGAAGCTCGCCCGTCGTGAGGGTCGTAAAGTTGTCCCGTAAGTATCTTTCCAGAAGAGCCTTCCAGTCTTCGGGATCGTATCCGGCTTCCAGCGGACGGAGGCGAACATAGGTGCCCTTGGGTAGTTGCTTCGCATGTACTGTGACCGCGGGGCCAGTCCGTGGTGAGGGTTCCCTTTCTAGTTGGGGCACAGTTAGGTCTTGTGGTTGGCCATTTGCGCTCAAAAACTCTTCATCCTTGATATCGAGGACATCTCTGAGCAATGTACTCAATGCAACTTCATTCTCTTCGGCGGAGAACTCCCGAATGCCCGCATAGATAAACCGGTCATTCAGAGGATTGACAATGCGGAATATTAACGGGTGAGGTAGTTGCTGCTGACGTTGTTCGGCCTCTTGACGCGCGCGATTCGGCAGCGAAGGTGTGGTGGTTGAAGGGATCGAATGACGAAGTAAGTACACGAGAGTTCCCGGAGGGGACAGCTTGAAGCGGAGCAGCAGCCAGTAGCTGTTCGAGCGCAGACTGTGGTAGAGTTATCTTGTCACCGGTTAGTCGAGTCGCCCGCTCTGGCGATGCGACGAGAAACTGGGATGACCAGACTAAAGTATCTTGAGCCATGTTGGATATTGATAATCATTAGAGAGAGAATGATTTCTTTTAATATGAGAATATTCCAAGGCGGGGACGGATCGGAATAGTGACAAATTCGACAAAAATGCAATTCCCACAATGTAGGGCACACCGCTTCTCTCTCCGCCTATATTATACAGCCAACCGGTATACATCTACACCTTGAAATTTAAACACAATTCTGCCCGCCAAAAGCTAGATTTTGCCATATTGGCCGTTATTGTTTCCTGTAGGGCCGATAAGAGATAACGAGGTTCAATTCTGGAAGCCTCCACGCTTGATACTTCGCTTTAAAATCACTTTACTATACGTCCATATAGTACATCCATATGCATGAGAGAATTCAACTCGATTATCAATAATTAAAAAGAAAACTGTACCCAAATTTAATAGAAGTCGCCACGCATTCGACCGCGAGCACTGGTATTGCACCAGTCACACTGCAAGACAAATTAGTATACGTTCTCATTCAATTATGGAAACTGGGATTTTATCACGTACCAGTGTCTTCGAGCATCCTTCGTTATGCTGAATGCAATAATCACCCTGGCAGCCTTGGCATGTGTGCTGGCATTCCAGCTTACAGGATGTACACTACTAGGGTTAGAAAAAAAAAAAAAAACGACGCCCTAAAGCCGGGAAGTTACTCACAGTTGGGCCACATTCCCAGCAGTCTTTGCTTACACCTCGTTCCGACCTCTGCACGACAAGGATCAGTGACATGAACGGTTGGTGGAACAGATTCCAATCTTAAATTCAATTTCCAACATACCTCACGTTCTTGCAGTTCGGCAACACTGGCGTGGACTGCAGTCTGATGCGGGGACAGGCTTACTCGGACAGGCTGTGGGTTTGGTAGACAGTTTCCACAGAACCATTTATTGCACCGGTGACACCAACAGTTGGTGAGGCAGTCGGCACAGCGGGCGATGAGGACCGGATGCTCGCCTGGAATTAGCTTGGGGCGTTTCGCCGCTGCAACGCTAGATGAGTGCAATGGTGGGGGGCTAAGCATCGGAAATTGAATATCTGGGGACTGGCTCCAAATAGCCGGACCTTCGGGAGAACTGTGGCATCCATCACATCCACGGGGCCCCAGGGCTACGGTAGCTACGGCAGGTCCGAGCAACGGAACCTCAGCTGGGGTGCCCTCCCCCGTGGTCGAACTGTATAAGTTGGGATCATGTCTCGGGCCACGACAAAGAGCAGCATCGAAGGCAATGACTCCCTCACACTTCTTAAGCACCTGGGCCCAGCCTTCCTCGGGAGCGTGCTTGAAAAGCTTCCCTGACGCGCTATACCACTCGTTTTGCTGCTCTGTGGGGGTTCTCGCGGAGGCCCCGTCCTCCCGATCAGAGTTAGACGGGGTTTCGCTGGGTGTCCGCGAAGTGCCCACACGGGTTCCCCACCAGTCTCGGTATCGGGGTCGTGCCACTTCCCGAGGGCCCGTGTGCATGGGCGAGAAATGATAGATACCCTTTATTCGCGGTGTACCCGCAGGGCGTGTAGGCCGAACCGCATGCTGAATGACCTGCATGAGCTTACGTTCGTTGAGATGGCGACATTCACGAATCGACAAGATATTGACGTTAAAGCGATCCGTCAATATGATATCGGCCACCAGATCAGCTGGCACCGACACTCCGTCCAAAATGAGAGTACGCACATCGTGCAGGATACCTCTGCGCTCAAGGCTCGTAAACATACGTTTCAATGGGGCGGAATAGATCTCGTCCTCTGTCTGGGAGTCGTTCTCCGCTTGTGTTATTGTAGGAAGTTCGGCACCCCGGCAGCGGGACAGATCTAGATGTCGAAATACATATGGCGTCTGAGTGATGACAGTGTGTAAGCGGCGTGAAGTTGAGCTCAACGCCATCAACGAGGAGACTGATAGATATGGTGCCATCTGGTCGAGAATCAAGCTATTGCTCAGGATATCCTCTAGTCCCGTTCGGTGAGGGGGCACGGGTGCTATGGATTGCACCTTTGATACCACCCGTTCGGGTAGTTCGCGCACAACAGGCACCAGGCCGAGTTCCTTCAGCGTCAAGCGGCGAGACCCGTAAAAATCGGGGGCGCGGCCGATAAGGTCCTGTCTGTAAGCAGTCATGGCACCTACGGCGATATCATCACCCGGGAATCCAAAAGGTGAGGTATTAGGTTGGATATCCCGGAGGGCAGCGCGGGCTTTGACCAGCTCACTTTCCAGAAGGTTAATTGTGGATTGTAGAACGGCAGGCATGGCTTCAGTTCTCTTAGGGTCAATGGCAAAGGCTATAGAAGACCATAGGTCGGACATAGTCCGGTAGATTTCTAGTGCCAGGGGAATGGAAATTCAAAGTTATTCAAAGTTGGGACAGTATGTTTTGTATAGGGAAGGTGGTGGGTGGGTGGGGGAAAAGGGGAGGGGGGAAGAAGAAGAAGGGGGAAATGAAATAGTTTAAATGAACAGGGGAATCGGATAAATACAATTGGAATTGTCTGAATATTCCTGTATCAGATATTTAAAAAGAAAAAGAGAAAGAAAAAAAGAAAAAAGAAAAAAGAAAGACAGATATGTATACTCCGTACTATAAGTATAGAACCAATGGAGCTGTGGAGTTGTGGGGACTCCGGGAAGATCTTCTCGAAATATCAGATTATCTAATATTCTATATACTACTACATACCTATGTTGTAGGTAGTAACTATAGTAGATAAATAGTAGACATAATAGTACATATGGTACCAAACCGTAAATGGACGCTCGGTCAAGTAAATGACGGTCAGCACCAAATTCAGCTTTCATCGACTCCGTACTCCGTACTCCGGACTCCATTCCACATATACACCGAATTTTAGGCCGCGTGACATGGCTTTTTCCCTTTCCGTTTTAGTGCTCACCCCTTGCCGCTCTTGGCTGAGTAAAACTGAGCACGCCCCTGAGTATTATATAATCAATCTCAGGTGAGCATCACCTGATCATTATATAAGCCGGATCTACTGAGTAACGTAGTTAGGTAACTACAACTGTTGTATAGTTAACTAACAACTAGTTACTAACTACCTAGGTAGTTATATATCGTAACTAGGGTCAATTGACTAGTTGACCACCCTCAAAATGAGAACCAGACTGGACTATATTACACCAGTCACTTGGGTTCCTAGGATCTTACTATCTCAGGAGACTTGGAGTAAACAGTTGTTTGTAGTTACTCGTCTTGCACACTATCACAATTCTCTAAAATCTCAATATAACCAGATGAACCAAATGGTGATGTCAAACCGGTGGATTCAAAATAACTGTAGTTCTTTGCATGAGAATTAATTGACCAGGTTAACTATCGAGGCTCTTGTAATACTGTTCACGTAGTGACTGTTATGGATGCAAATTTCAAAGAAAGTATAAATCCAAAGAAAAGAATGAGTAAAATACATGTTGTCTAATGAAATAAAAACAGTGCAAGTATTAAATAGGTCACTTCAGCTGTCACTTCATCTGTCACTTCAGGCGCGAATCCGCAACACACTCCCCACCACCCCACATAGCCTTGACCGCGGCACTCCAGGTAGTTGCCGGCTGCAGGAAATTCTCCAGTGTGTAGAACAGACGGCAGTGAGCTGGCTCATAGACAAACTGAAGGGGCATGGAACTATCCTTATCAAGCTTGCTATACGCGTCGCGGAGGTTAACCTGCAATAGGCCATACTGAAGTGGGCTTTTCTCAGCCGGGGAAAGCGCCTTTAGCTGCTGGATCTCGCTCTTCGAGAGCAATTCCTTCTCGGTGGCCATATCAAGCAAGGTGCTCGTAATTTCCACAAGACTGGCTCCAGGCATGACTTGTGCACCTCGTGTACCGCCCATCGCCTGCATAGGTCCGTGCTGCGGACGACCACCAAAGGAGAGGGTCTTCACACCTTCGTACTTCATCATCTTGGTAAAGGTAGGACAGGCGGAGCTGCAGGCTCCATCCGTGATGATCAAGATGTCTTCCGGGGCGAAGGGGGAGTCGTCCATTTGGACTTAATGCCGCCGAAGCCGTGGATTGGTTTCACCTCGCTCGAGACCAGGTCCAGGTCCAGCGAGTTAGCCGTGCTCATGTTAGTGCCGAGTACCTGATGAGGCCCGTAGAGCTCTTCAGCCGACTCAAAGGTGTGGTTCTGATCGGGGGTCTTCAAGTTGTAGAAGCCGAATTCGACGAGCGATTCAAAGATGGCATTTTCCGAATCATGTGGGAACGAGTAGCCGACCCTTTCGATAAGTTTGAAGGCTTCGTGTGCACGGAAGCGCGACGACCAGTACGGGGTATTGTTGGGGAAGAACAATCTATAGAGATCAAAAGCATAGTTGATGTCGCCTCCGGGGTTGGAGCTCAGGTCGATGATCATCTTCTTCTTTCCCGCGTCAACAGCCTTTTGAATAAACTCAACAGCGAGACCGGAAACAATGTCGCTTCCGCCCTCTAGATTGCTAACACTAAAGGTAGGAACAGATAGCACGGCCGTGTCCTCCAGCCCGGGCTCGCTCAATAGGTAGCCGGCGATCAGGTTGTTGTCGTCGCGAATGGCGGCCTTGGGGTAGCCAGTCGGAGCAGGCTTTATAGTGGCCGATGGGCTCTGGGAGACAGGAGTCGAAGAAGCTGGGGTGGAACTACTGGGCGTTGGAGTCGCTGTCGAAGAAGCTGCTTTGGTGGCCGTACCAGTTGTATCAGGTGCAGGCAGGCAATAACTCTCGTAAAGCGCCTTACCGTTCGCAAACTTGAAGTTACCGTTTTTAGCAACGGCCTTCACTTCGGACTTGGACGTTGTTCCGTTGGCGTATGCCAGGTTGTACACTGTAGATCCGGGCCACATACCATTCGGACCGAAGGAGAATGCTCCCAGCATCTGGTCACTGCTTGTATAGCGGGAGCGGGAGCGGAACACATTGTTGTACCTGGCATCAGGGTCCTGGAATGACTGGGACTCTGCAACTCCCTCTAGGTGAGAGACAACTTCTTTGCCGTTAATTGTCACAATGGGTGAGACGGCATCAGGGTTACTCTTGAGGACTTCGGCATCATCTGAGCAGCCATGTCAGTTCTAGTGTTTCCACATATAAGGCCAACAAACATACTATAAGTGTAGATTTGGGGCAGCTGGAGACCATCAGAGGAGATAGAGACCAAGGACTCATGGCCCACAAACATGAATGGCATAAAAGAGCATGGTAGAAGGGATAGATGCCCATCCTTGGCAGATATAAAGAGGTCCGAAAGAGCAGTGTCGAACTCAAATTGATTGCCAAATTTGTTGTCGGCAGCCTGCTGCTGCAAATAGTCCAAGCCACCCCATATATCAACCGGAGGAGACAGATACGAAGCCGGAGGATCTGTGATAGAAACAAAAGAGGGTTAAAATGACTCTTCGACTCTTCAACTCTTCCGATACCCATGTTATACATACTGCTTAGCACATTGGCGTTAGACTGCCACTGCATGTATTTCTTCACGTCTTCGACAAAGGCAGCTCCTCTCTTTGGATCAAATGGCATGGACTGTAGGCATCCATAGGCCAATGCACCGGGAAACGTGGGTACTTCTAGTTTCTTGTCAGCAAGTCTATTGAGATTGACATTGAGACTGACTGTCCCCGGTGGTCACTCTTACTGCCGGTTTTAATCCCATGCATATACTGCTGGGAAATCTCGGCACAAGGGGCCGGTATAGAGCGTTGACCGCTAGGGGCTGCGGCCACAAGGGCACTCCCCACAGCTGCGAGAAGCAGAGAATGTTTGAACATATTGCGACCTTTTTGAAGTTTGATCTTGGTGAATCAAAGAGTAACTTGGTCTCGCGGAGGTAGTGCATCTTTTTGTACCCGAGTCTTAGTGGTTTATACTCCATATGTCGATAGCCATTCTGCCTTATGGGGCCGTAGACCGTTAGTTTGGGGGCTCAAAGTTACACTGCCTCGTTAGCGGAGATAAAACAATTGATTGTATATATAAATATATTAGTTCCACAATAATCAGCCCTGGAGTATCTATTTTGATGAGGATCATCAAGTGGGCCCTCGCAATACCGTTAGTTAGAACTCGAGCTTTGGGAGGCTCAATATCCTATGTTGTATACTATGTTGTATGGGAATTTAGAAATTGCGAAATTGCGATCGTCGCTCCGGAAAAGCGCGGTGAGGCTCTGACATCCCGAAGTGGACCTCGCGGATGTCCAGTAATCCGACGTCGGGTGTATGTTGTATGTTGTACTCCGTATATGTTGTATAGTTATATATAACATGATGATCATCACCAAGCCCTACCATAATAGGTTTCTTCGGTGATTCAGCCGATGTTGGCCCGGTTCATTACAAATACTATATATTGGGGGCCATCCTTGTCACAGGTACGGAGTACTCCGTATACTCCGTATACTCCGTATACTCCCTATACTCCCTATACTCCCTATACTCCCTATAGAAATATCATCATAATCTGTTCCCTTCTTATAATTACTTTTCACGCTAGCTACCTACAACATACTCTCCATTTAAATGCAGTTGAAGTATCGTATGGGAAGATTCATTCTTCCTTCTCAATTAAAAATCCTTTTAACTTTGAAAGTGCCTTTTAAAGGCATGGCTGATGGTTGAAAGAATTTTGTACATACAGTGAGGCCATGGGGCAAAAGAGAATAAAAACATGAATGTAATATGTGATCACTGATCACCATTTCCTGTCAGCAGGTAACTCGGCAATAAAGGTCTTTGAGCCAACTTCCTGTGGTACATTGTGAGAGCTATCTCCAGGGACCTCCGCAATCTTCTGACGTGGGTCGCTTGCTTCGACCTCCGCAATCTTCTGACGTGGGTCGTTGGCCTCGACCTCCGCATGTAATTTCCGATCGTTTTGACTAGACTGGTCTTCTGGAACAGACTGGTACCCGTTTTGTCCGAGTTCGTTCGACTGATCTTGCTGGCGCGACTTCTTCTTCTTTCTCAGAAATAGGATGGCACCGGCTCCAATACAAGCACAGCCTGCAACGGCCCCAACAACACCACCTGCAATTGTGCCTGAAGACCTTGATGAACGGGATTTTCCAGAATCACCAGCGGGTGGATGTGCTGTCGTCGTCGCCGTCGCTTGAGCTGAGGTTGACACATCAAATGAAGAGGCGTAGGTGTTCAAGATATCATCACCTATTTTTGTAATATATTGAGTTGCCATAGTCATTGATCCATTCGTAGGTGTACCGACTGTTGCTGTAGTGTAGACGCCATATATAGAAGGAGTACTGTAACAGTGGTAGTCCGTCAGGTCTTCACCTCCCCATGTAAACGTCGCACACTCTGTTGCGGTAGATTCCGTGCAAAAAAGGGCGAAGGCTGTGTTGCCGGAAGTTATCGACGGAGTAGCAGAAACTTTTGCACTATTATAACAAGTGCTCGTAAACCCGCAGTAATTGTCCGAACAACAACCTACGAGGCCGGGAAAAGCGGTATTTGACATATGAAAAACACAACTGTAGTCACTATCGCAGTCATATGGGGCCATGTTATCTGAGAAATGTGCCGGGTTAATTCACTGATTCCGAAGTAGAAGCCAAGTGATCTTCAAAGGGTACTAACCGGGACCTATCCTGTCGGTAAAAAATCCACATACCGGAGCATCGGTTAAGACTCGGGTCACAGTCTCCAGGTCATCACGGCGATGAAATTGGAATCCCTCAGTGGGCTTCGGTGGCTCGGATGTCATATGTTGTATGGCTGTAGGTAGAGGGGTCGGAAAATCGATTGCAGATGCTGATCGAAGTATCGAGAGTGCAAATAACGTGGTTGACCATGGTGTCATCTTTTTTCTTTTCTTTTCTTTTTCTTTTCTTTTTTTCTTCTTGTTGAGTTCAAGAGACAATTGAGCTTTGAGAAGAGAAGGTTGGTGGTGCTTCCGCGTCTATATAAAATTTGTGAAAAATCCCAAAACTACCCCTGAATAGCCCAGTATCCCGTTTGGACTGTGTGGATAACATATAGGGTACTCCGTAAGCGACCACGCAGAGCATTAATTCGATATAGGAAAAAGGCATTGACCCACCACACGCTTGTTAGGTATTGGGGGCCAAAATACGGAGTAGTCGTCCTATACGGAGTACTCCGTAAGTGAGCCCAGTGTGAAGGAAAGTTGTCCGAGCCTCAATTATTAAGCAAGAACTTGCACCGAGAGCCGCATAAAATCCCTTATGTTGTAAATCGAATTGGAAGTCTATAAAAATTAGTTCAGATGTGGTTGTATTAGCGGAGACACTAATCGAGCCTCTTCCACACTAAGCCCATCCATCACACCCACGACGCTTCAATATCACATGAATCATTGGCTTTGCTCCCTTGTAACCAACACTGAATGCCCAAGCCTAATTTCTTAATAAATACAATACCGAAGTCTAAAAGGGGAAGTGGGGACAGCGGAGCGTTTGGGAGATTGGAATGGGCCTGGCCAACACTCAAGAAGAACTACAACATACAACATAGAATAAATATATTCGTATCATTCCAATCCCTCCATTTCACTTACAACATATCTGAAAATTGATACTAGAAGACAACAGGGCTTGATGAAGTATCACAAATGGGAGCTTCACACCATGGCTGTTGAGTAGTATATATATCTAGAACTATCAGCTCAAATTTTAGAAAAATGCATCTTGAAAAAAAAACATACTGCTAGCGTATTTGTCGCCCAATAGCCGCGGACTTTGCATATTCAGGACTAGGGAGTATATAGTGTCTACCCACAGTTTCAGAGTCTTATGTGTTTTGATTCAGACCTTAGAAGACAAGTCCTGTAGAGTTACTCTCGGAAGCGCATGCCATTTGATCTGACTTTTGTCCGTACCCTTTTGTCACATTTGCATAGTCTGTTATCGAAGGCGGATGATTGACCCCTATAACAAGATTATCTCCTGTGGATCTTGTTGGTCGAAAGATGTCGACAGCCGGCTTCTTTAGTTTATCTGCTGCATGTGCTGTCACGTGGCTTCCATCTGCTAGTACCTTACTAAGCATACACTGAGTGCTCACTGAGTGCTCACTGAGTAATCACTGAGTAATCACCCTGAGTAATCACCCTGTGCTGTTGAATACGCAGTGGGCAGGACCCTGAGCGCCCTCATAAAGCAGCGCCCTCATAAAGCAGCGGCACCCCCGATCGGGAAAATCTCGACTGCGGCCTAAAATTGTATGTTGTATGTACATAGTACAAAATACAATAGTACAACAGGATAATCTCACTTAATCTCACTTAATCATTCTGTATACAACATTTTGTATCATGATTTTCAACTCTAAACTTCTACAACCATGTCTTGGCCACGCAAGGGAGAAAGAGTTACAGAGTCCAAGAAGTACAAGTTACATGGGAAATACTTCAAGGAAGTGCCAAATAGTACTTCCTCCCAAGTATGGGGGTGAAACCCAAGTGGCTCAGGTACCTCCACAGTCCCAAGTACATGAGCGTTAGTCCAGGAACGTTGGGAAATGATCCGCTGGTCACGCGCAAGTCCGCGTCAGTCTAAACCGGCAAGGGGACGAAATGGGTTGTCCAATGAGGTCAATAAGTCGATATTATCCGATAGTTATCTAAGATTATTCTACTACTTCTCCTCCTCTTAAAACAATTCGGGCAACCCTTCAACGTATACATCCCTATCTTGATACATTCCCAGTCCAAATATATAGTTATATACTCTCCTCCGTACATTCTCGGAGATCCCTTTTGGGGGGGGCTTGTTTAAACCTGCCAAGACAATAGTTAGGAGATCCCTGAATTCCGCGCCAAGGCTAATTGAGACATCTCCGATCTACACGGCAGCAGCATGCCAAGCCTTGACTGGAGGAGTTGCTTTGTAAGTATGTACCTCTTAGTTCACTACTCCGTAGTTAGTTACTCCGTATTAGAAGTAAGCAACTGCGTTTGATGTGGCATTCGAGATAAGCTGAAGCTGCCAAAACCTATGTCTTGGCCAATTGAGAAAAGAAAAAGAAGAAGAAAAGAAGAAAACCACGTTATGTAGATCTACTTTTGGGGTCTCTTTACACGTCAGACCAATCCCAGATCCAGTACAAGATAGATGGCTGATCTACTATATGCATGTGGACGAAGAGTATGCACCGAGGCCAGGCAGTCGTCCCCAAAGAGGTTGCCAAGGAATAGTTACACCCCTACTCTGTGCACATCACCCAAAATGAGTTGGATCCAGACAACGTCGCACAACTATGCACTCACTTGGGGTGGGAATTATCAGGGTAGGATTAGAACTAGTGATACAATGTCGTCGATCGTTCCCCAAGCCCCCGGGATCCACCCCCCCGCTTTCTTTCGAGAGGCCTCTCTACTTCCACAGTTTCGACACGGCCACCTCCTTGTCATCGTGCTTGTTGAGAATCTTGGCAGTGGCCAGATCAAAGTCTTCTTGTGTGACATGAACCCGACGCTCGCGGAGGGCATACATGCCTGCCTCCGTGCAGACACCCTTCAGCTCGGCTCCAGAGCACCCGTTCATCTTCTCGGCAATCTTAGTCAAGTTGATCCCACGGGTCAGGTTCATCGACCGAGAGTGGATCCGCAAGATATCGGCACGAGCTTCGACCCTACAAAGGAAAAAGTAAAGTTAGTATACCCAAGAGAAAAGAACCAAAGAAACAAAGAACAAGGAGAATCCATAAATAACCGGGGGAGTGGAGGGGCAAAGGGAGTGGACTGACGATGGAGGGGGAATTCGATCTTTCGGTCAATTCGCCCAGGCCGAAGTAGGGCCGGGTCCAGAATATCCAGTCGATTTGTCGCCATGATAATCTTAATGTTTTTCGTTGGCTCGAAGCCGTCCAACTGGTTCAACAACTCCAGCATGGTACGTTGCACCTCCGAGTCACCACCTCCTGATGAATCTATCCGGCTTGATCCAATACTGTCAATCTCATCCATGAAGATGATACTTGGTGCGTGCTCTCGTGCCATGACGAAAAGCTCACGCACCATCCGACTACCCTCACCGATGTATTTCTGCACCAGTTCTGAACCACTCACTCGGATGAATCGACAGTCGGTATGGTGAGCGGCTGCTCGAGCAAGCAGGGTCTTGCCAGTTCCGGGTGGGCCGTAAAGCAAGACACCCTTCGGCTGTGCAATACCCAGAGATTCAAACAGCTCGGGGTGCTTGAGGCCAAGCTCGATCACTTCCTTGATTTCCTTGATTTGCTGGTCTAGACCACCAATCATGTCGTAAGTGCTGTCGGGGACCTTCTCGACCATCATGAGTGCAACCAGAGGATCGACCGAGGACGGCAACATCTTCTCCAACTTGTAAGAGTCAGACAGAAGAGCGACTCGCTTTCCCACAACAAGTTTGCTAATGTCCACACCATCGGAGATATCCACCACTGCGATCAAGGAAACCATAGCGTTAACATGAGCCCAGTCATCAAAAAAGCCAAGACGATTGGAATGAATGAAGCCTACCGTATTTTCCTTCTGGGTGTACCTTCACCAGAACCTTCTTGGTGCTCATCACCTTCACCACCTCACCAACGTAGGAGCCGGGTTGTTGTAACAAACCAAGCTCTTCGCGCAGTAGACGGACCCTCGAGTTGTAGTCATTGCGCTGCGCTTCTAACCGTCGTAGAACGGCCTGACCTTGAATAATCTCGAGCTTCATGCCCTCGATTTTATTGCGATAGTAGTTGTCCAGAGCCATGATGGCGAATGGGGCGATGACGCTATGGAGACTCAAGGGTTGTCTGTCTTCCACAGAACACGGATACAGTAAAGGGAAAGAAAAAAGACTCGATCTTTCTGCTCAGAAGATGATATATCGAGAATTTGTCAGGGGAGGGATATAACTCGGGAGCAGAAACGGAGATGTTGAAGCTGGGGTTTGGCGAGCAGAGTAGTTCCAGCTGTACGTGAAGCTCAGGTCCGGTGCCCGCCCGTCTAGTTGTGCTGACTAAGAAATAAAAATATTCTGGCCTGAAATGCTAGGCCACATAATTAAAGCAAACAAGTCAAACATCTGTCTTTGTTTCCATGGTTGAGACTTCGGGAGCTCCAAGGCTCCCCACCCAATGACTCAGCTGTGGACTTTGATTGGCCCGCCTGGAGCTGCCCAGGTGGGCTGATGATTCGGTCATCTGCAATTGCGCGAAAGTACGGGAGACAGAAGGGTAACGGTCAAAGAG